AAGAAAATATATACAAGTGGCAAAAAGCATTCTGGGCTTTGAGATGTCTTCTCACATTTTTCCTTTTTTCTTTTCTTTTAGCCAAAAAAATGCGATTTCCTGGACATTTTTCGATTTGGATTTCTCCTTCTCGCCAAGCATTTCATTAAAACACGCCCACGTTTTTATGACTTAATTTGGTTGGCGTGTTTGCCTAAGGCCTTGTCACCCCATCACATTTCCTTAGCATAAACAGCTTCGCACAATAAACTTGTTGACATTGCTCTGGTCCGAAAAAGTCAAACAACACTTCATTAGTAGCCGCATTTGTATTTGTTTATAACTTAATCTACCCAAATGTCAACACGAAGAGCGCCTGGAAAATTTCAATGAGTTCTGGTCACGCACAGGACGAGAAAATTAGGTGGCAGCGAGCTAAAAACGAGCAGCTGAGTATTAATAGAAAATGTTAAGACAAAGAACGTTTAATTTGTTTGTGCTACTAAATTTCCTTCGTTTCGTTTTAAAGCTGATCCTGGATCGGCGGTCATAAAACTCTGGGAGAAGATATATATATATGGGTGATATATATACGTGTGGCTATATATATGCAGACGACAACTTGGCAGTTTATTGCAGGTACGTGTCTTGAATTATTGTCAACACTTTGCCAGGTTGGAGATTAACAAACGTTCACGCCTGACGTTTGACTGCCATCCCATCCAGTGGCGGCATTCTGTTCTGGTCTCCTGGAGTCCTGGAGTTCTAGTCCTAGACGACAATTTTTACCTCACCGTGGGTTTTATATGCCTGGGAAAAATTGATGAGCGTGTAAACATGTGTCTGTGCGCCTTTATTTATGGATTTCCATAACAATCCAGCGTAACATATGTGTCTGAGCCGTTGATTGAAGCACTTTCCCGCCACTCCACAAAGGACACAGGATGTTTGCCAAGCTGTAAATATGTGTGTAAGCTGGGTCAAAGCACTGCGTACCCTCGGTTTTTGGTGCGGTAAGGAAGCTTAAAGCAAAGCCAAGGAAGTTTGCAACTTCGCTGTGTGTTTGGTTTCAGTCTAAGGTGTTACGTGTTTGGCTTTGGCTCTTGGGTTTGTTTACCTATCGCTCTTCCTCGCACTCTGGGTTAACCATACTTGTTTGCTCTTTAAGTCATTTTGATTCACGGCTGTTCTAAACCACTTCAAATTATTATTAGTGTCTATAGCTTAGTGTTTAATCTATTTAAATAATATGAAAAGATATTCCTTAACAAAATCAAATCTTAAATAATAAAATAACTTCTTCACTTATGAAAGTTCTTGCCTTTCAATTTAATTCACCCCAAAACGAATTATAACTCATTTTAAATCACATTTATGTCACCCTCCACTCATGCGCCAAATTTAACCCGAAATACTTTTTCTTACTTTGCTCTTTTTTCCGAGAAGTTCCGCGGGGGTTTCAAAGTTTTTCTTGCCTTTTGTCACAAGCCATAGCGCGTATAGTCTGCGTGGAATTAACATGGCCTGGTCCGTTGTCAACACGGCAAATGGTTCGGGTTCAGGTGTCAAAATTGTTTTGGCGAAAGTTTGTGGCTGCTTTTACGGCCACGCTTATTTTTGTTAAGCATTTCAAGCACAGGCTTGAGATGTGGCCAAAAAAAAAACAACTCCCAAGGCAATTCCTTCCCCTACACAGGGGAAAAATGTATATTTAAAACCCATTTAAGTATGCTGTGTATTACTTGAATCCAAAGGATTCTTAAGAAAAGAGATTTTTGTGGTCCAATAATGATCATCCCGTACCTAAACTCATAAAAATGTAAACAAAATATAAATCACCCTTAATTTCTCTCAGTGCACCCACCTTGGCTAAGTGTTGCAGGCGCCAAGGCTGTCGCTTTGGATGGAAAAGTTTTGCGTTGCAACAAAAGCATAACAAAAACGCAAAGGAAAATATGGTGGGAATTTTTTAACGCTTCCAAGTTTGCACGGCGCCGACAGCTTGCCAAAGGTATGGCTAGAGGGAGGGGAGGATAAGGTAAACTATTACATAACACGCATTATACAAAAAGGTGCCGTGGCCAGGTTGGTAAGGCATTTGCCGAGGGAGAAAATGCATAAAAAGCGCATTTTATTATTTCACTCGAAACTTGTTTACGGTTCGTTTTCTCCTCGTCGCGCTCTTTCATTATGATGTAATATGGTTTTAACATTATTTTTTTATTATAAATCAACAAAATGCACTCAACGCGACTTTCTTTTCAGTTGACGCCAAGAACTTTTGCCCCCCACCAAAGTGAAAGCCAGTGAAAGCCGAGAGAAAAGCGCAAGTAAAAAGGGTGCAGAAATAAAAGCAGAAAGTTGAGGCCAGATTGGACTGTGATTTATTTAATGCTATTATAGTTATGGCTTTAGTATTGTGAAGAGGCCAGCTGGCAGGGTGGATAAAAGCAGTGTCAGAAGCCAAAGGAATATATTTCTTTATAAAACGAAGATTAAAGTTATTTTCAAAGCAAAAGATTTAACTACTTTCGAAAAATATTCTTAATTAAGACGAAAATAATAAATCAAGGAGTTGAAGGAGTAACAAAAATTAGTTTCCAATTTGCTTTTGGAATGTTATTTCCAATTTTCCTCAAGATCTATCTTTAACTGGTTTTTCCAACCACTCGTCAGGAGCGTGAAAGTACACAGGCCACATTTATCTCTTGGCTATGGGAAAACAACAAATGTCACAGCTGTCTGTCAAGTCAGTTGCATTCCAAATGGAATATCTCCGGGGCTCAGAGCACAGCTGCAATTTTCGTTTCAAGGATAAAAGCCAAGCCAAGTTTTTACCGCCTCACACTTATTCATATTTTTCCAACTTAAATGTCAGCGAAATTTGTCAACTTTATTGCAATGCCTGGTAAAATGTATCCAGACAGCGAGAGTGAAAATCGCGGAGATGAAAGTGAAAATGCTGTCATTGGGACATCATTTGCTCATTAAAATCTATCTTTTAATTTCAAAATTTTGTTGGGAATATTTAATACTACACAAAATTATACAACAGACATAATGACAGTTTCCCAGCTTAGTCATCATAAACTTAAGAGCTTTTGCCTGTTGATTAATGCGACTTGTCACAATATTCACCGATTGTTGTTGTGTGTGCTGTGAATTCGGAATAAGATGCATTGGCCATAGCCATTATCCTTACACTTCTTGCATTGCAATTTCCTGTCCTTAGCTGGCGATTTGCATGCTGATCTCATTAGCACAAAACAAGTTCATCTGCTGCTCCCAGAGAAGCGAATCGCCTGCAAGTGCATCATTTGCATGCAAATGTCGTTGGTAGGCCACTTCCCACTGCCTTTTGGCCTCCGATCCCGAACCCGACATCCATCCCCACTCTCAATCCCTCCATTGGCCGGTTGTTCATTTTGCACTTTAGCTTGCCTTTGTTGCGGTTTTCGTCCTGCAGGACGAAACTTGGCTTTTCTGTAGGGGCAAAGGCAAAGGCTCATAAAGCAGAGCCACAGTTGCGACTGTCGTTGACACTTTAGCCAATATTCAGGGCACGCAAAAAAAAGAGAAACAGGAACAGAAGTATAGAGTATACTTGGGGATAGAGTGTGGCCCGAGGAAAAGAGTCCTTTATGAAAAGTTTCTTTTTGCCGTTTGCAAAACTTCTTGTTTGGCAATTGTCGAGTCTGTCGTTGTCGTTGTGTCGTTGTCGGTTTTTATTGCCCAGCAAACGTGGTCTTTACCCACTCATTATGGACAGTTTAGTTGCACTTTTAGTGGGGGCTTCGAAAGTCGAAATGAATGTGCACTTTACTTCAATTTCATACCAGCACTTAAAGGGAGGAAATCATATTAAATTGAATTTTTAAATCTACTGGCACGAAGCAAAAATCCGCTTACGAAAAACTCCAACAGAATATTACGCATACGCTCTGGTGGCCAAACAATTCAATGCTTTTTCAAAACATTACCCAACATCGCCACTTAAAGACCAAATAAATAATGCCAAAGGTAGTTGAAGTATCCATCCAAGTACCAAAGCCCATTAAAGCATTCCGCTCCAACGCGTTTCCCCGAGTACAATTAAGGTTTTCAACGAACGCCAAGAGCCATACGCCAAAATATATATTTTGTGGCCAGGAAACAATAAACCAAAAAAAAAAATGAAGCAAAAATAAAAGAGGAGTCAACGGAAGAAGGAACAACCTTAACAGCTGTAAATAGGGCCAAAAACTGGAGGCCCAAGGCCAAGTTGTGGAAAAAATAAACAAAAATGTAATTTGCGCCACTTAGCAGCCAGGGAATGGACAGTGCCATTAATAATTCCATTTTTTTCGGGTATTACGACGCTGGCACAGATAATAAGGAAATATGACTTTGTTCTGTTGTACCACAAAAATAAAATGTGAAATGAAAAGCTGTTGGGAAAAAATATGGAACAAAAAGCTAAGGAAAATCAGTTTTGAGTTAGCATTAGTCGGAGGTGAAAAGCTGAAGGTAAAGCCAAAAATTGTAATAACTTCTTAATATTTCTTTGAAATTTTATGTATAAAATCTTTAAAATTAGTTGTATTTTATTCGTATTCTAATTTTATTTAACATATTTTTGGCATTCTCTCTAACATTAGCAAGAAAATTCAATTAAGGTGACAAAATGTCCGAATTTATGACATGGGAAGCGTTAGGACCCAAAGGACAAAGTCAGTTTGAGTAGAATTGAGACACACTTGGGACGACCCTTTCATCCTTTATGCACATTCATGGGCCAAGAGCTGGGTGTGGGTCATGAATTATGAAATCTAATTGAACGAAATTGAATAATGACGGTGACCGGTGTCAGTTGACAAGAAAAGTGAAATTCCAATGAGCGATTTATGGGCCAATTTCGATTCAATTTTGACAGCCGCAAAATGTCAAAGCCAAACGAATGAATAATGCATGAATAAAACGGGGAATCTGTATATATATATAAGGGGCATCATTTGCATGTTAACTTATTGTTAGGAAACCCAATGCATTGGTGGCTACTCTTTGTCTTTTTGCCATTATCCTGCGAAGGATTGCCGGAGCGTGAGCTGCTGGAATTGGAGTTGGATTATGGGGTGACGGAACCGCAGCGAACTTCGCTGCTCCAGAGCAGTCTGATATTGCAATTTGCCCAGGACTATAAGCACATCCCCAGGATAACCTACTTCACGTGCCAGAAGCCTCATTCTCAGACTTCGAACGATGGACCGAACCAAATTCCCAGTGCTGCAGAAATTCGCGTCGCCTTCGCGGCGAAGAATTTTCAGCTGATTAAGAGTCTCTACGAAAGCGAACTCTTTGTGCGGATTGTCCTTCTCGATGTGCTGGCCCAGGCGCCTCCTTCTAGTGGACGACCCAACCGTCCGGGTGGCGGACCAAGCGGTGGCTTCAGCCAGGCGCCCAGCCAGGCGCAGAGCAATTCCGAGTGGCTGGAGAGCGTCCTGCGGATGGAAGCCCTCAGGCAAATTGCGGTCGTGGATCTGGCATGCGGCGCCCTCAGTCGACGATTTCTCGAGTTGGTAAGAAGGGTGGGGTATGAAAAGAGAGGAGTGGGGAATGGGGGAGCCCACCGCCCTGTCAAGTTGTGGAGTCTCCTTATTAAGTGCTCAAGTACAATCATTTCAAAGGCTTCCGCCAAGATGCTCTACAGCGAGAAGTTTCACTGGCTATTGATAGAGGATTTCGCCTGGAATGGAAGGATGCAGACAGCCGAAGGATCGGTGAACCGAGACGAGCAGGAGGAGGTGACACAGGGCCAGCAAATTCAGACGACTGATGATGATGACCTTCCTACCATCCAGAGCTTCTTGGGGGGTATGAACCTGTACATGAACACCGAACTAACGCTGGCCAAGCGAATGTCCGAGGCAGCCCACTACACTCTGTTCGATGTCTGGTGAGTGATTAACTGGCCTGGTTATCATCATCTGCATCACCTGAAGCTGCAGTTTCCACTTGAAAAGTCCTTTAATTTTAATGTTTATATGAAATATTGGTCCTTTAATTGCTTATTGATTACTAAGGACATACAAGGACATGATCTTAGCTTACAGCTAAAATAAATTGTATAAACAAGGTCTTAATTCAGGTCATTGATTAGAAGCCCCGAGTTGTTTATTTCATTAATTGATGAGCTTATGTTTTCGCTTGATTTATTAGGGTTTTCGTAATGGAATTCAAAGATATATTTGTCCAAATTAATTTATAACATTGTAAGCCTGAAAATTGCGGTTAAAGGTATTTAATTAGGCTCATTAAATGGAATGATAAAGGAATTTATATCTAAACCTAGCTTAATAGCATTAACCTCAAGCATTTACAATCTCAAGTCCCCATATATCTCTGCAGTCAAAGGACAAGTTATCATTTTCCTAGCATTTGACCTGAAAACCATTCCATTCCGTAAATTGCCAGAGCAAAGATTTCCTTCTGCCTGGTTGCCATCAACACATCAGCCATAATTTCCCAACTGTCGACTTCCCGACTGCTAATTCCCACAACGACTTGCTCCCATTTTGAACCCTCGCTTAGGAACCCCGGACTCAACTACGGTGGACACGTCAATCTGACCGAAATTGGCAGCTTCACGCCGTCAGAGGGAATCCAGTTGTACACATGGTTTCGGACCACGTCCACAGTTCGTCGCAGGATGGACATGCAGCATGCCAGGGTGCGCTGTATGGTTGTGGTGAGGTTTATAGAGATGGGAATGGGAATTGGGTGGGAAACGGGTGGAAAAGGGCAGGGAGATTCATCATCATCCTAAGGGACAGCAGTGCACTTGAAAGAAAAGTGTGTGCAAGTGAGTCTTGGAATTATAATTGACATTTAAAAAAAATGGTTTTTGGACATTATGATTTCGAAATATTACACAAATTTTCTTGGATTAATGTAACCATAATATATCTCTAGTTTCCATTATTTTTCCAACTGCAAAATTTTCATATCTATTCACTCGGCAGGTGACCAACAAGAACATGACGGGCACCCTGATGTACTACCTCACGCACACGGTGTCGGGTCACATCGACACGATGAACCGCTTCAACTTCAATCTGCTGATGGCAGTGCGCGACATGTTCAACTGGACGTTCGTCCTTTCCAGGACCACATCTTGGGGGTACGTAAAGAACGGACGGTTCGATGGCATGATTGGCGCCCTCATACGTAATGAGACGGATATTGGCGGAGCACCGATATTCTACTGGCTGGAAAGGCACAAATGGATCGATGTGGCTGGGCGAAGTTGGTCAAGTCGTCCCTGTTTTATCTTTCGACATCCGAGAAGCACCCAAAAGGATCGTATCGTATTCCTGCAACCCTTTACCAATGATGTCTGGGTTTTAATCGTAGGTTGTGGTATTTTGACAGTATTTATTCTTTGGTTTTTGACTACCATCGAGTGGAAATTGGTGCCACATGATGGCTCAGCTTTGATTAAACCGAAAGGAGGAGCACCGCCAAGACATCATTATCAGCAACCGCAACAGCAGGAACAAAGGCCGGCTACAGCACGTCCTATTACTGCAGTGTCAGTTGTGGTCAATGAAGAAAAAATAGAAGAAAAAGGGTATGACAAAGAAGATTCAGCTCCAATTGATGCTGGAACTCTATGGCAACGTTGTTACCAGAAGCTAAATAAGTACATCCAGGATCGCAAGGCTAAGCAGAAGAAATCTCCCGAAAGAGTGGGTCTCTTCCTGGAATCCGTACTCTTTTTCGTGGGAATTATTTGCCAACAGGGTCTGGGTTTTTCCACCAGCTTTGTTTCAGGACGTTGCATTGTAATTACCAGCTTGCTCTTCTCTTTTTGCATCTATCAGTTTTACTCTGCCAGTATTGTGGGAACTCTTCTGATGGAGAAGCCGAAGACCATTAAAACTTTAAGTGATTTGGTGCATAGTTCGTTGAAAGTGGGTATGGAGGATATTTTGTACAACAGGGATTACTTTTTGGTACGAATTTAAACAATTTATAATGAAATTTTATAGTTTTATGTGTATCTTACCTTAACAGCACACTAAAGACCCCGTTTCCATGGAACTTTATGCCAAGAAGATTACAAGTGTTCCTACCACCAAAGAAAACGAAGCTGATGAGGATGAACCAGTCGATCCCAATCCAGCCTCTACTGATCCTGCTAAGTCCTATCGGGATATAGTTCACAGCCATGAAACGGGTGCTCATGCCAAGGATAATGCTGCTAGTAACTGGTTAGATCCGGAAACGGGTTTGCTAAGGGTTAAACATGAACGTAAGTAACTACATTGATAAAGCTGATATCTCATAACTTATCTTGTTTTAGGTTTTGCCTTTCATGTGGATGTGGCTGCTGCTTACAAGATCATTGCTGAAACCTTTAGCGAACAGGATATCTGTGACCTCACTGAAGTTAGTATGTTTCCTCCCCAAAAAACTGTGAGCATTATGCAAAAGAACTCGCCAATGAGGAAGGTTATCTCTTATGGGTGAGTAAAGGTCCTTAAATAATCATTTAACTAAAAAATCTTATAAGTTGTTTACAAATTCAACTTGATTCTGGTTAACGTTTTGGTTATAGTTTTTTATTAAGCCCATTTATTATTATGTCTTTGCCTAATTAAAGTTTCTTAATTAAGCAATACATCTCCTTTTAGATTAAGACGCGTCACTGAAACAGGAATCCTGACATATCACTTTAATGTCTGGCACTCAAGGAAACCGCCTTGTGTGAAGAAAATTGAGACCTCAGACTTGCATGTGAGTTGCCAGAAGTTTCGCAGCAACCTTTTCAACTTTTAAAGCTCTATTAATTTGCAGGTTGACATGGATACCGTGAGTTCTGCCTTGTTGATACTCCTTTTCAGCTATGGCATTACCCTAATGATTCTGGGCTCAGAGATCTTATATTCTAAGTGGCACAATCGCCTCATAATCAGACTCAATTAAAGTGGGTTGAAGGCAGTTCAATGTTATCGAATAAAATCCAAAAGCAGAGAGCTTAAACTCTGACACTTGAGCTCAACTGGAATTAATTGCCGCGGCGGAAGTTTTCAGTTCATTTTGAATGCGCGCTTTCCGATTCATTAGCTCGCCACAAAGGGAAAATTCGATTTTCGCGCAGACGACCATGAATGTGTCAAAAGGTAAAAGTTTAATTAAATTAACTTTGCTGAGAGGGAAATCAAAGGAAGGTAGAGGGAACGGGATTGCATAATTAAATTGTGTAGTTACTCAGACTTAAGAAACAGAGGGATTGATTTATTTCTTTAATGAAATAAATTAGAATTTATTTCTCTCTCCTGGGAAGAACTTAATCTTGAATTTATGGCCCACAAGATGGTGAAATTGTTTCTTCGGTTTTTTTTTTAAAAAAAAAACCTCTTGCCGCTGGTGTAGAGAGAGTGAGTCAATTTCGGCCACAAACGAACTACAAAATATCCATTAAGATAACAAGTTTTTCAGTAGTTGTAACACAGTTTTCCTTCCTTTTCTCCCATTCCTATCATATTTTATTTTCCTTCTTAGATATTTTTGTATCTTCGCCTTTTACCGGGAGGCTTCTTGTCAGCGCTCACACAAAAAAAAACACAAAAGTTCTCATCCTGGCCCTATACTATTTTGGCTCTTTGCCAAAGTGCCGCTCTTAGGCATTTCTTTTCCTCTTTTAGAACCGCCTTGCGTTTGTTTGTTGAATGTAAAAAGGACTTGTTCTAGGCTAAAAAGCCACAACAACAGAGCATCAAGACGAGGCAAATCAATTACAAGTCGTGAAAATCTGTAAAGCGCCACGAAAACATGTTACCGAAAAAGTTGTCAACATTTTTCATTTAATGTCCTTGCTCATTAGTGAGTGACCCAAAACCAAGAGATAAAAAAAAAAAACTAAAGAAAAAGTGTGGTAAATGTTCGATGGAAAAACTAAGTGAGTTTTCGGGTAACTACGTTTTTTTTTCCTCGTAGACGACACGACTGATTGAAAAAGTTTCGCAGACATATGGGTTTGCCTTCGGTTTCCGTTTAAGCCAAACACTTTCGGCTATTTATCTACGCAAAAGGCCATAAGATGCAATTTGGTTGGCTCACTACGTCGACTGTGACAATTAAATTGTTTTGGCTTTGTTTGAGCAGCAAATTGTGCAACAAAACTTTGGCGGTTGCCAAGAAAAATAAAGCAGCGGAAAGAAAGTGGCAGCGCAGTGAGGAGACCTGCAGAAGCCGTGGCATAATTAACAAAAGCGCTCAGCAGGGCGAGTAATTTTGCCCGCTTTGCCAGCGTGCTGCTGCACTGAGGGAAATGGGAGGTGAAAATAATGCGATTAAGATTTTATTTTGAATTTCAAAACATTAATTTCTCAATTTTTCAACCAAAGTATTTTATTTCTTTAAAATAAGGTCAAAGTTAATATTAATAATACCTTTTTTAAAAGTTGGATTAGAGAGTAAAAGTGGTTTAAATCTTAAAAAACTTCTTATTTATTTAATAATTACTTTTCTTCATGTGCCAAGGAAATCTCTCCTCCAACTGAGGGCTTGGCCAGAACCCAAAACTTTCCACGCAAAGCCAAACTAAAGTAGTTTCCCTGAAGACGGCGCCGGGCGAGATTGGACAAGGAAAATTGTTGGTGGGGGAGGGAGCATATGCTTTTGGGGCTTGTGTCAAAGTGTGAAAAACTTTATGCGTCTTAATTAAATTTTATATACAGCGCAAGGGAAAGGAATTATGCGCCAAAATATTGCAACAGCACCCGCAGAAATCCCTCAACTCCATGGCGAAAGCAACTTTTCAAAAGTGACAGCTGCATCGGAGGGCCGTGGAATGAAGGAAGTCTAAGGTCTAACCGCTACTTGACTTTAAGCCAACCAATTAGTGAAAACTTGGGGGATAATTGAGTGCCTGATTATCAAGCTCACTTGGCCTTTTTTATCTTCACCTTGTGGGATCATTTTTACGGCAACCTGGAAGTTAAAAAGGTTGGGAAAAAGGAGGAAACGTTTTTTAGTTACTTTGGGTTTTTATTATTCCTATTTTAGGAGATTATTTTAATCTCGTGGAATACCATGAAAATCTGTAGATGATTTAAAGGCAATTATATTTTATTAAAGAATTTTTCATATTTTATTAGTGAGCAGTAAAAACTCTAATTAGAAATAATGGTAAGTTCCTCTATCTGCAATTATGTGAAAGAAAATTTTCCTTTATGCATGAAATTCAATTATCTCCACTTGAATTTCGTATTCAATATTTACCTCTGCTAATTAACTTTCTTCGTGTGCCAAATGAACTAAACAAATTTGGCCAGAATTCGAGGTATTCCTGGATTCTCATTATCATTCCGAACATAAACGACAGAATGTCTATGTGTGTGACACACATTCATGAAGCAGGCAGAGATTTAGGGGTTGGGAAAAAGCCAGACACGTGGCCAATTTCGAGTGTCACATAACGGATTTTTCTTGTCTGTCTCATGAGTTGAGGGAATGCTGAAATATGTCTAGGCTTTGGTAGAAGGTCTAAGATTACTTAATGGATCTTTTTACCACCTAGTAGCCAAGGAATAAATTCGAAGCAAGAAAATGTTTAAAAAATATATAAAAAGGTGAAAAAAGTTCTTCTGTTTATTGATTTCATCGATAATAGTAACAATTATCTTTTTAATCAAACTCTTGTTCGTATCGATATACCCTCTCACTTCTACCAATCAACTACGTGAGCTTAATTAATATGAAGGTCCATAGATGATAAATTATTCCAGGACATGAATGGCTATAATTGAGGTCCATTCATGGTTGCATGTGTAATTTAATGTTTCTAAAATTGTTTTTTCACTGATTTCACTTCTGTTGCAACAAAATTCCCCAAACAAGTTGTAAACTTTAATGGCATTTTGTTGCCTGCCATCTATTTTCCTTTATTTTTTTTGTCGTTTTCGATTAGTTCAGTTGTTTTGCCCTCATAATAGTTGACAACAGTAATTTATGATTCTTTTTTGCTGTGCTGGTGGTTTGGCCAGTTGCCAAAACTATTTTTTCCTCATTTTCCCCATAAAATATAGAAAATATTTTTTATCAACTCAGCTGGCAAATATAAAAGGTGAAAAGTTAGTTAATGTACAAATGCATTAGATGCAAATAAAGATCAAGTGGTGATAAATATTGTAGGGTAAAAGCTTTTAAATATTTTATTTAAATGTTAGGAAAACAATTTTGTGGATTGCCAACTTTTATATAGAAGTCAGACAGGCAGATAAGGGGAAAAATAGACATCATTAATACGCATTATTTACATTTCTGAAAAGTTCAATATCGATCAATTGTCGTTTATACGCTTTCAAGTTTCTTTCTATTCATCTGTGAAAGTTTCCTTCGCCTGTGAAAGATTTCTGTTTTCCGTTTATTTTTCTGTCTAGCCGATGGCACCGGAAGTTGGCAAGGAGCAGCAGTAGCTGCAAACCGGAAAGAAAAGCAACTCAGAGAAAATCGAAAGTTTTGATTTATAATCGGACAAGTTCTAGAGCTGCCTTCAATTCACTGTTCTCTTGCACTTCTACGAGTTTTCCTGGCTTGTCCATTGACTTGAATGCGGGATTTGTCATGGCTCAAGAATGGAAATGGCAAACTTTTTTCCGGCTTTGGTATATAAATTTAATTTATTTACAATATCCGCCTTGCTATTTGTGCGTTTGTCAGGTCCTCTCGGGTTCAGGTGTTGAATGGACATTTCATTGAAATGAGCCAACAATGGCCTGCCTTAAGCCCAATAAATTTCAATTAAAATGTCAACAATTTGCGAAGTAGCGACAAGATCTCTTTCACAACCCGGTAGTCTGAATATTTTGTTAGCCATATATATTGGCTGGGGAGGATTTATCGCTGCCATTTGCTTATTGACAGCTGGGGAAAGTGAGCGTGACATGATGGAAAGTAATCTAATGGAGAGGATAGACCAGCTGACTCAGGTAATTCATCATAAATATGCTGAGCACAAATATAGCCCACCTACACCTGTGGCTGTCGTCGCTGGAAGTCATCAATCTTCTAAACGGGAAGTTGACTTCCTCCTGCCTTCACTCTGCCCCTTTTATTTTGCGAGTAAAGGAACAATTTAAATAAATTATATTGTCAGGAAATAGAGTCCGTTCTCTCGTTGAGTTGTTAACTAAAGTTTGTACTTCGATTGAAGTGAAAAATGTGCTAGCTTATGAAAATTTTAAGTATTTAAGCAACCCTTTTGGTTATAAATTATTTGGAAAAATATCTCGGTAACTAAGGTGGATAATATTTGGTCTTAGTAAAGAGCTTTGTTTAGTTTCTTATTTAGCTTATTTTTACAAACATTTTTTACTTGCAGCTAAAATTTTTCCAGCAGCCGCACTTAGGGCTTAAAACCAGAAAGAACTCTGCATTTTGCTAGCCTTTGCGAATAAAATAACAGACGAAAGGAAGCTGTCACTGTGACGACCGACCACTTTTGATAAACCGCACAAAGGCAGAAAGGGGTTAAGAGGGGTTAAGGGGGGTTAAAGAGCGGATGGTCTGCTAAAAAAAATTGCGAAATAGAAATAGCGAGTTCGAAAATTGAAAAGCGCTTAAAGGGACCCGCTGAAGTGGTTAGTTTGCGTCCTCCGGTTGATTGCCGCTTACCAACTCCCATTTCCACTGACATTCCCGATTTTCCAATTCCATTCCCTTAAAATCCAAATCCCCAGCCATTTTGAAACGAAACCTAATGACACAAAGCGCACTAATTCAGTGGGCCATTGTATTTACACCCCCCTCAACTTCCGATCGGGTTCTCCATTTCCTGCTCCTCCAATGACAACCGAATTATTGTAATCCACTTGAAATTCATTGGGAACATACAGCAAAAAAGCAAGAAATTGGTGCACTGAGTGCAATTATCGGAGATTTGCTGGTTTGTTGAATGGCTTGGAATCTTGTAAGTCACAGAAGGGACAGAAATTGCAGCACAAATTGAACAGGAAATCAATGAGGAATGTTTAAGCAGAGAAGAAGTCT